CCTCACAGGCACAGCGGATTTGGATTCAATGAAATCTAAAAACAACAAATACCATAAATAGTGATTTAATAGCAGGATGATTTGAAAGTAATATATGAGTTACGTTTGAGTTGGTGCTTATATAAAAATAAAAAAGAGAATAAAACTATTGACCCCTTCAGCTGGCCTTTATTATCCAGGCTGAGAATATTTTGGCTTGAATGCGCATTCACCCCACTAAATTATTTCACATAGACTTGTTTTTCTCATAAACGCTGGAAAATAACTTGACACAAGCTCAGCAAAGCTGGAAATAAGTGAACCTCAACATTTAATCGTTTAAAATGTTTGGGAGATCATAAGTGTTCGCCCGCAAGCTTTGACCTCATGGTCAGAGTTGAATAATTATCCCTTGTATGCAGTTGGAAAGCTTAATTCATCCATCCATCCATTACTGCTGCATGCAGTTTTCTGGCAGAACGTATTCCCTTTTGAACAGATGTTTGAGGTCACATGCAGCAACAGCAAACAATAACAGCTGATAAAATTCCCTGGGTGGCTCGTATGGGTGATTGACAATAATTTACGTGCTAGCACCGGCCAAACGCATCCGCTGCTCCAGTGAGCAGTTCAAGTGTTGGTCCAAGCCACCCCCATTGTTTCATGGAAGGCTCTGGCGGGGCTTACAGAGAGGCCAGACTTCAAGTGCATGCATGTTATCTTGCACAGAGTAGTGAACACATGAACCCACGCCTTCTATTCCTGCATCACATTTATTTGTCTGTCCTGCCCACCTGCCCTCTGTGCACCTCTTATACACTGTGGTCTTCAGACTGATTCCTATGGTATACGTTGTCTAGTTAAACTCGGGTAAGCAAAGCCACAGATTAAATAAAGGTTTGCTTAAATCACATTGTAATAGTATGTAAATATACAGGCCTTTGCCAATCAATAGCTGGATGAAGGCATCTCTATGCCGTGCTAATTATGGGATTTGTTTAACCATACTTCACCATGCTGGTCAGTACAGGTTGGTGAAGGAGGGTGACCCAGGATCGGTTTCGGATATTTGATTTCCCATTGATGTTGGCTCTGGTTGGGAATCGAACTCAGTTTGGTGGATTCATAGCGCAGTGTTCATAGGCTTGCAACGATCCATCGATTCGTTTATGAAAACCGATTATTGCACTTGTGTTAGACGTGTAAAATCCGAGAGTTTCACGTGTTTCCTTTGCAATGTATTAAAAGTACATGTGAATTGTATACTAATGTTATTGTATGCGAGTGGGGTGGAAAAACCGCATTTAAACTAAGACGTAGAGAATCGATTAATGAATCTAATTGCGATCCTGAATCGTAATAATGCATCAAATCCTTGAAGAGGGAGGCAGGGTGACTTTGTACATACCTAGTGTTTATGATGAACATTGCTTCACTATCAAGTAATAACTGTACGCGTTCATCAATCACACTCCCATAGAGAGAGAGAGAGAGAACAAATATATAATAGTTGACGTTTTGGGCAATGGTTCTTCTTCATAGCAGAAAGATAGTGAGGCCAGAGAAACGGAGTGAATGATAGTGTAGAGACCCCAGAATCGGAGTCTTTATTTAGACTGGAGGAATCCGATGAGCTATGAAGCTCTTTTTTCACAGCTGTACAATCGTAACGGGTCGGCAAGTTACAGCGGCAAACAATACAAAAACACCTATAGGAGTGCAAAATAGAGAAAAAACGAAGCAAGGCACAAAATGAATAAAATAAAAAAAATTACAGAATTAATACCACAATGCTCTTTTGCTCTTACATTACTTTCCCCGCGGTATCACCGTGCGCAGATGAAAAGACCAACTAATGGGGGGGGGGGGGGGGGGAAATTCCTCGTTTTAAAATGAGCAAATCCGAACAAGCGCCAACATCTAGGCCGCCGCCCCTCTCGCAACGCTGGTAAAGTGTCCACATTGCAAATCCACTTTTACATGATAGTTGGATGACCCGGGGTGTGTTGTGCGCGTCGTCGCTGTGTAAGCGTAAGGCTACGAGGCATGCGGTTCGTAGCATGGAGGGATGGAGGAGGAGCGGGGGGGGGCTTGTCTGTTTATTATGTTTTCGTCTCGCATGCGTGCTTGATGCACTCAGCAGCCCTCTGAACGTCCGGTGGCCCTATTGTGTACTATTATTATGATTACAGCCACTCCCGCAGCTGATATGTCAAAACGGACTGCATTTGGGTTTAAGCTGTAGTCAATATTACAACTTGTTTTTTTATGGTAAATCTTCAGAGTATGGGTTTCTTGTCATTTTCAGTTTAAAGTGTGGTATTGTTACCACATTGTTAGCTTGTACACTATCGGCAAGCCGTATTGATTTTTAGACTGAATTACCAAACTACATAGTAAGATGTGGGCTTCGTGGCAGCGTAATGCAGATGTTTATAGATTGGCAACGGTAAGGAATGCCACTTGGGACAATTTTAATCATTAGATTTATAGCACCACTACCAGAATAGGCCTCTGTTGTCATTCAGGGTGTGGTTTGGAGAAGCGATTGTAATTTCGTTTGCCGTGCAAATAAAAGATACATTGGAATAAATCAACAATGCAGAACGACACCAATGCCGCATGTGCACAAAAAATAATTTACAATGCTTAAAGAGCAGTTGAGTGTAATGAGATAAATCAAAATAATGTGGCGCAAAAGCTAAATAAATCAGAGATTTTTTATTATCTGGAAATGTAAACTCGGCAATGGAATTGCTTGGGTTTGTAATGGTAATTTGTGGTTGCAGCCTGTCAGGCAAGTGCTCATTAATTGTTTTTTTTTTGCAGCTTAATCTCGTCGCAATTTCTTCGTGTCCTGCAGGAAATGATGCGAGCGCAATCCATTTGTGGAGGGACTAATTTACAAACGACATTAAGAAAATAGAAGAAAACTAAAAAAAATCGTCTGATGAATAATGCAAAGGACGCGAGTCAAACAGATTTTTTTATACGGAAGGAAGAGGAAGATAAAAATTGCAATTCCTTGAAGATTTTTTTTTAGTGTGATCAATAATGAATAGAAAGTTGTGTTTTTTTTGTGGGAGCGCGTGCGGCGACTGGCGGGTTTATGAATATTTGACGAGACGGGCTTTAATTACGTTTCCTCAGTTCTTGAGCTCCGTCGTATTTTGTCCGGAACGCTTGGAAATTCAATCATTTTTCACACGTCTGCTTGGCTACTCTGACATTGCAGCAAAACGACCTTGCATGCTGGGGAGCTGGGACTGGTGGGGGCGGGGCGCGGGCTTCGGGGGGGGGGGGGGGGGCGGGGGGGCAGCGTCGTGCGCACGCGTTCGTGTGTTGTGGTGTTGCGAGGGGGGTAGGGTTTTCCCGTGCTTGCATGTGATGTTGTTGGTGGTGGTGGGGGGCGGTGTGCGGCAGGGAAGAGTGGGGGGGAAGAGGGGCGGGGGGGATGGGGTAGCGGCAGGCGAGGACCCAAATTGGGTGAAATCACAGCGAGGGGCACGGACTTTGATGAATAAGTGTAATATGAGACCATATTTCTAATGGCCTCCTTACTCCAGCGATTTATAATAAAGTAGGCGGCGAGCAGCGTCACGCTGAGATGTGCCGCGCGCACTGTATCGGCGGCGGAGGGAGCGGGCCCGTGCCAGCACACACCTGCAAGGGATGATGTATTCGCGAGCCGAGCTTAAGAAGGGGCGGTGAGGCTGCGTATTATTTACAAGCAAGCCGCCCGGCTCAAGGGCGACACATGCTCTTCCAAAGTTAACGGAGTCCCGTCATAAAAACGGAGCCGATTTGTAACCATTACTGCCACGGTCCTGTGTCCGCCACAGCCCCAGAGCAGCGTTTCCGTTGTCTCTTTTGTGTGGGGGTGGGGTTTTTTTTTTTGGAAGTAAAATTTTGCGCGTGTGAAAGAAAAAAAAAGATTCCGAAGATTCGTTGAAGCGCCGCCGTCGCTGAGATGGCTTATTTAATGCACAAGCGAGCATTAAAGCGCCGCTTCCTCTCGCCCCCGTGCCAGCGCCAGCGACAAGCACCGCTGTTCGTCGGACGGTGCCAGACATTATACTGAACGGTGCATATTTTTACATGACCCCCAAATGCAAATTTCGGCATATGTCATGGTGAACTCTTGAAAGAGATCAAAAGTGTGATTTGTAATGCAAAACCACGCTAAGGTGGTCATGCATAATTTATGAATCCCGAGCCGAATGTTGTTAAATTTTTCTTTTGCGTTTCAGCTGTTTGTGAAGACCCCCTTATCAGTAATGTTGGCGTGCTCTGTTTAAAATTCAGTTAGCTTGGGGAGTGGTGTTTACGGTCCGATAAAGATTTTGGCAACGGTGTTGTTATTGAACGTTTTATGGTGCAATTTAAGATATTTGAAACAACTGCAACCAAGATGTGCACTCTTCTGGTTCTTAAAACCTCTGTATGGCTTCACCAAAATCCAATCAGTATTTTAATTGATCATTTTATAAACTTGTGTTTGTAATGCCCGCTGTGCAGGGAACTCTATGTAGGCTTAAGCCATTCGCGAAATAGGTGATTTTTTAATTTTTTATTTTTTGCGCAGAAGTTCATTTGTGGTACAACTTAACCCTCTGTTCTGCATCAAGGCAGTGGAGCCTTGGCCATAATTATGAGCCCGCTGTGCCAGTAATGCTGACCACATGTCGCTCTCTCCTCTCTCTTCCACCCCCTCAACTCTCCTTCCCCCTCTCCTCCACCCTTGTTCTTTTCCCCTACATTTTCTCTCCATTCTCCCATGAACCATCTCTTTACGAATTTTTCCCGGATCCTTCCCTGCGTCGCTCTGCTTGCTCACCCCTTCGGAATCTTTCCCCATCATTTTCCCCCTCTCCGCTCCGTCCCTTCCGCTCACCCCCACGTCTCCTTCATTCCACTCCTTGCTCCATGCCCGATGTTGCCCCCCCCCCCCCTACCTCCCCCTTGCTTCCTCCCCCCCCTCCCACTTCCCTCCTCTCTCCGCCTCTCGTCTGGGCCCGCAGCCGAGCGCGCGAGTTCTGGCGCCTGGACAGCTGGGAGGACGACCAGCGGCGACGGCGCCGACTCGTGCCCAATCGGCAGGGGTCCACGCACGCCGAGGCCACGCTCCGGCCGGCCCTCGAGACCGGTGAGGCCTCCTCTTTTCCGCCACCACCTGGGCCCTTCCCAATGCCCAATCCTCACGCACGCACAGCCCCCACCCACCCCCCTCCCCCAACGTATGATTATAGCACCACGGCACCACACCCGAGCACACTGCAGTACGAATATTGTACTGGCACACGCCAACCCACGCCACACATCACCTTATGCCACACCACATCTAATGCCACACGCGTCCAGTTCACACACCACCCCATGCCACAGCAATAATACGGAACCCGCTCTCGGCTATGCCATGTCCACCTCGTGCCATGCTATACCACGCATGCCACTCCGTGGACACCCCCTAACCCCCACACCATGCCGTGAGCACTGCACCACTGCAAGCAATGGCTCGTCCAGTATTGTGTGGTTAGCCTTGCTGCCTCACCCGCACATCGGATGCTATTGGCCAATAAGCAGGGTGGGTCGTGAGAGGTTTGGTCCGAGTTTATGGCCATCCTTTCTTCAGGCCTACGTTGGGTGTTTTTTTAATGCACACTGATATCTGTTGCATCTATTAATTCGCCAAACAATGCTGGTATTCATTGTTTTGTTGAATTACTAATATAAATTCTTTTGTTTTTTTGTAAGATTGACACTTCCATTCCGACATGTTGTCTGGCTACTTACGTAGCATTCACTTTAACTCCTAAATTATAAGGCATCACTCCATAGCAAAAAAAACTGTTTTTGACATCTAATTCCTTTCTCGTCTTTTATTTCCATTCTTTCTGCAAATAAAGGTGCTGCGATTTCACTTCTCAAATGTGGGGGAGTTTCACGCTGTAAGTGTGGTATTCCCAGAAGGATATTTAAAACAAATTTAAAGCAGCTGCTTAGCACAAGGATCTAACCAGCTCTTGTGATTTACGAGAATAATATCCAATATACAGCACAATCACCTGTCCGGAGAAACCAGATTTATAGCGGAACAGGGTCGAGCTCGCTCTCTCCCACCCCTCATTGCCCAGCCTCTCTGCCGCAGAAATCGATCGCAGAGCCAAAAGTAGGCAGGTTAGATGAGGTGGCAGGGTAATTGGGGAAAGACGAATATCCCGGGGCCCGCACTGATCAATACGAAACCAGCTGGCTGGCCGGTCAGCTGCCCCTACCCCTCCCCCACACCCCTCCCCCCGACCACCTTCAGCCCAGCCCCACCACGTCCATCCATCCTGTTCCTTCTGCGCGCACGCACGCACGCATACACGGGGAGGCACCTCGTTGGCTCATCCGCCCGCTCGCCCGCTCTCTCCCTCGCTCGTCCACTTTGCTCCGCAGGGCGTAGAAAACCCGAGTCGCCGTTCACGTGCCGAACGGAGCGGCAGCAACGGGCCCCACCCCGGCTCCGCTAGGATAGATTTCACGGCAGTGCCGGAGTAAGGATGCCCTGCCGAGTTCACCGAGCTCACCGCGGTATTGCCAGACGCAGCAGGATGGCTCCCGATCCCCCCCCCCCACCACCCCCCTCCATTAAAAAGTCCAGACGCCACTCGGCGTCCACCACCGCCTCTCCCTGGGTTTCGCGAGCTCGGCTCACTCCAGGGCTGTGTGCATTTGTGCGAGCGTCGTTTTTTTTGGTGCCTTCTTACCGGCGATGCGATTTCTGCGGCCGTCTGGAACACTCTTCCTTCTGATGTTATTTAAAACTAAACTGTAAACTAAACTATTTTATTTTACCAGGTAAGGCCCACTGAGCTATATAAATATTTTCCAGAAGCGACCTGGCCACAAATAATGAAATGGCTTATCATCACGTGGAAATGTATAGCAGCCTTCCTATTTTGGGAAGACACTGGAGCTATGCACTTTTAAATATAGATTGAAAAAAATGATTTCTTTAGAACTGCTCTCAGTGTTTAGTTTGTTCTTTCCCCCGCATCTTCGATTAGCACGGTTAGCTACGTACTGCGCGAAAGAAATTGAACGTGCATACATAAATACCCGTGAGTCAACGGCGCCCGCAGAGTGAGAAAAGCAAGTTGTCGTCGTCGTGGTGTTGTGTGTGGGGGGGGGGGGGGCATGTGGGGGGGGGCATGTGGGGGGGGGGGGCGTTCGAGGCGTGCCCACCACTCATCCCCACTCATCAAGGCGGCGCTCGCATAATCCCAAAAGTGTGTGCGGATTTTTATGGCGGGGTCTCCTTTATACACACAATATTTTGAAGCGTAACAAGCGATCTCTATTACGTTAACAGTTGATTTAACCTCCTCAGACCTCAGGCTGTGAAAACGTTTTTTTTGCTTTTACGACACATTTGTGAAATTAAATAAATCTATTTTAAATTATGCGGTGACTCTCGGTTAAAAAAAAAAACTGTTCAAACACAACTGAGAGACTGTATAAGCAAGAAGATTGTTATGTGAAGCCGAAACGTATTGCTCCAAGGGAATTCACAGCAGGACGACTGCGAGCGCAAAGGTTTTCATTCCATCGCCTTTAAAAAATAATGTCAAATTCATCAATTGCTACATTTACAAAGGGAGCTCGCCAAAGGATGGGAGCTCGAGAACCCCTGGGGTTCGATCGGTGCCAAAGGAACCTGACAGCCAAGGTGGGATTTCGTTGCTTTGGGTTACTAATTGACGACATGATTACCCGTTCATCTCCGTCTTTGGGACGTAAAAACAACAAAAATACGAAACGATGTTTAAAATGTCCCCGGCCCTTATTTTGGTTAATGTCATTTCAGCGTCAAAATACCAGAGGCTCTCAGAGCCAAGCACCCGGGGACTGTGCCGTAGGGCCCAAGACCTCCCATCCTTCACTTTGCTTTTCATTAAAGTGAAGGATGTTCTCTGCCAGTCGGTGAAATAACATTCAGCGCCTTGCCTACCTGCGATTGCTCCGTAATGCACTTTCAAAACACGTTAAATGTGTTAAATATCACGCTGGCTCCCGTAATGCATTGTTTGTTTGAAATGTAAAGTTTACGAAACTGGCATTCTTCAGATTCGCCTGCTTTAACCGTTTCGGACAAGAACGCGGTTCATTCATTAAAGGGCTCCCTCAGGCCATTCTGTCAAATAAAGGTCACTAACCTTTGACTAAACAGCAGCAACAATGGAGGTAAAATTTGTTTGCCCAAAACAGCCCTTATAAATCTTGGTATTTCACATTTCTTTCCGACAGGCCAAATAACACAAGCTCTGTGCGCTCCCGCGCGCCCAATTATCCTGGGTTTGAACGAACAGAGGTCAAGATAAAGTGTTGCCAATGAAGAGGTCGTTACTTGCGCTTCGCGTTAATTAATATCGCGGCAATGAGCGAGCGAAAAAAAAACAACAGAGGGGGCAGACGGAATCCAATTTGCGTGCGGCTCGCAGTCCTTTGCACTCGCCCCCCCCACCACCCCCCCCCCCCCCCCCAGTTCACAAATGAGAAAACGATTGCGGGGAAAATAAACAAACAGTTTACAGATTCAGGCATTCGATTGGCCCTTCCCGTCTGGTTCGCTATCCACAGTTTCTCGCCGTGACCTCAGCTGTCTTGCGCCGGCACCGTCGCTTTCTGCCTTGGTTCACTGCTCCCGCTTGTGATCTCTCCCTCGCCGGAGGCTTTCCACCGCTCCGACCCCTCTTCTTCCTCGCATACTTCCCACTTCCTCCCCCCACCTCGCGCTCAAAGACAATCCTCTTCTCGCCAACCCACCAGCCTCCCCTCCCACTGCTTTCCCCCGCCCCTCCCCACTAAACTCACCGCCCCCCCCCCCCACCCAACTCCCCGCCCCACCAGTCCCGAGACACTTCACTTCATCAGCCACGAGCGCGACCTGCCCATTGAGACTCGCCAGGCATGAAATTAAAGCCTCGCTTCCATTGATCATCGCGCTCTCGCCGTAACAACACTTTGTCCTTCAGGAAAAAAAAAAACGTGGCGAGGGAAGGAGAGAGGAGCGAGGGGAACCGGGGGAATCCGACGGCGTGTCAATAACGGAGGATGCGTTTACGGACGGCCGCGGGATGTGATGTTGGGACATGTGATGTCGGCGAGCCGCGCTCATTAATGACGAGCGAGAGCTGCTTGGGTGGGAGCGAGGCTGTGCGTGCCTGGGTGTGCGCCTGGGTGTGCGCGCGCGTGTGTGTGTGTGTGTGTGCGCGCACGAGGCTGTGTTTTGTGTTTGGAACGCGTGGCGGTCTTGTCGTCGGGATTAGTTGCGCAGCAAGGCAGGTGGTGCGGCCTCGGCCTGTAATCCGCCTTCCCTAGGGCAGGGGTTGTTGGGTCGTGTGAGGATTGGGGCGGGCGCTGCATCTACACTGGAGCTTCGGTTGACACGAAATATATGCTGGGTCCCTTGTAGACTAGCGTAGGGACATGATAAGCATCTGCAACCAATGGCGAGTGGTATACTGGATGTGGTGTGCCGGGTGCAGATATATCTAGGCTCGCAGACCTGGACAAATCCGACTGAATTAAGCCCTGATCTACACAGACACACTTTGATGACGGTCTCAGTCCCCTCACAGAATGAGGTTCAGCATCGGCACCATCGCCGTACGTTACACCTTGCACACAAAAGCTATCCGTACTTCCCATGTTTCGTAGCGAATTGTGGAGCAATGTTTCCATGTTATCTTCCCTGGGGTGACTCCAAAGGGGAATTTTTTTCTACTGCTGTAGTATTATTTGGTGTTGGTAATAGTATTTCGTGAAGTAGAAATATAACTCAACTCCAACCGATATTAAAACATTCTTCTCAGACATTGTAGAGTTCACCCATATCGAACTGCCCTCAGGTCCTTTGTCTGTCCAGGGTTATCGATCACTTGTGTTTAATTTGTTGGGCATAAACCCAATCGGTAAACCCACATTTACAACACCAACCATTGAATATATCTGTACTGCAATGAATTCAAGTTGTTCACAACGACTGTAGTATAAAAAATACATATAAACACCGACCTTTGTCAATCTGTTATTGGTTTAAGCACCCCCACCACCCTGTCATGTCAGTCATGGGAGTTGTTTTACCATTCTTCACCACGCTGGTCAGTGTAGGTTTGTGAAGTGGGGGCACGGCCAGTTCTGGTATCACCCGTCGACGGTTTCATAGCTCGGTGCGCTAACCACTGTGCCCACCACTCCGTCCAATTATTATTATTATAAATGACGTCAAAATTTGTAAAATAACCATACCGCCGCTGAGTGTCACGTGTACATAGATTAAGCTGGGTAACCTTGAAGGGGGGTAATTTCTCGTCTCCGTATTGAGCGCCAGGGCGTCTCGCTGAGACGCTAAGCCGCACGTTAACCCGCGGAATCCCCTCGTCGAGCCGCGGCTGACATCCTTTGCCTGTCCCAGCAGTGCACCTTTGAGGCAGTGCTCTCGGTCAGTGTGTGGTGCGGTGCACAACGGTCAGAGGGTTGCCCGAAAAGCTACGCGTCAGCTTTAATAATAGTTGTACGGATAAAAAAACAATTCCGTACCGATAAAAGAATGTTTTCCGAGGGCGAATGCATGTTGGAAAGGATTACACAATCCACGTGTGCGCGTGATTTTTCCTAACTTCTTAAACTTCTTTAACATGATTGATGATGCTTCAGCAAAAGCAGTACAATTAACGAAACCTAAAAGAATATTAACATTTTTTATAAATTATAAAATAATGAGGTTAACGGCCTCTGCCTGTTCGCTCTTACAATCCGCTCGCATCTCGATTGTCCCCTTCGAGTGAAACCTCAAGCACAGTCGTGGGAATGACGCATAAACCGATCATGAAGCACTTTGGGCGGCGTTCCGCGGTCCGTGCGTACGCATGCTTTCTCCTGACGTGTTTGTCGTCATCGTCGTCGTCGTTATTCTCGTTGTCGTCGCAGTGTCGGACGAGGAGGTGGCTCGGCGCGCAAGCCGGGCCCTGCGGGAGCGCATGACGGACGAGGAGCTGCGCTCGCCCGAGACCCCCAGCGAGGGCGACGCCGTCGATCTGAGCGTCGACGTCGAGGACGAGGCCTCGGGACGGAGCTCCCCCGAGCGCGGAGACTGGGACCTGGACACTCTCACCGGTAGCACAACGCGCATGGCCGCGGACGTCCACCCCTCCCTCGCTCACGCCTCCTCCGTGTTGTCTCCTCTTCGCTCGACCCTCTTTGTAGTGCACACCTCGTTCTACCCTCTCCTGCTACACCCTCCCGCTACCCCCCCCCCCGACCCCCTCCACCCGTGCTAAAGCTGCCAAACGTTCCAATTTGGCCGGGACAGTCCAACGGCTCTGTCGATGTCCCAGGTTGTGTTGCTTCCCCTGCCGTACAGAAGAATCGCGATATACTGTGGGAAGAAGAGTATCTCACAATACCAGGAGAGGAGAGAACCGCGTGTAAATTCACCACCTCGAGAGCTGCATTATTATTACGCAGCAGGCAAAAAACTGTGAAATGTAATGCCCTGGGAAGATGTAGATTTACAAGAACAGATCCCTCAAAGAGAGGCTGAACCTGGGAAAACCTGCGCAGGTGGCAAAATTAGTTCCGAAGCGTTTGTGAAAATTGGGTTTTTATCCTGGTTAAAAAAAAATATTCTGGCCACGTGATCGACTCATGATTCAGGTAAAGGGACGGAGCTACCTGAGTAGTGGGCCTGGGTTGGCGGAGGAGAAGGCGAGGCCAATGTTAGAGTGCAAGGCCACTCAGCGTGTGGGCAGGGCTCGCGACTGATTTGGCGTGGCTATTTAAAAGTGGGTGGGGCTGCTGAATGGAGGGGCTGCCGTATCGCAACGTGTCGTGGTTGAGCCTCCCAAAAATCAGGTGGCCTTGCCTAGCACCACTCACACTTGGCGCTCCTCTTTCGTGCTGGCGGTGGCCGCGTTAATGATTGAACGAACGTATGGATGAACGAATGAGTGGGGGAAAAGGGAGAGCTCTGATTGATTAAGCCGAGGGCATAATTGATTGATTCATTGACCCATCCGCGCATTTATCTAATCCTGTTTTTTGGTCGTACGTTCACTGGCACCCTCGCAGATTCGTTTGCGATTCGTCACCATTAATGCTCGTTTAATTGTCGTTTTGTTATTTTTGGTTCGTTCGTGTTGTAGTGCGCGCACCGCCTTTATCGTAGAGCAAGCAACTGAGCTTCACGTACACCTACAGTCCTCTGTCAATCCATTGCTGGATGAATGTCTCCCCAAGCTTTCGCCATCTCTCTCATTCCTGTGATGTATTAATCCGTAATCCGTATATTGCCTTACAAGACGAACTGATTCCATCGCTCCATCTCCACGTTTGGACGTGCTCTCGGTATATTCTCTCCTCTGGCTTCCACTTTGTCGTCATACTTGACCAAGGCCATCTTCCCTTATGCTCGCAAATTCTGCCGGAGGCCGCTTAATTTTCTTAACACTTTTGTACGTTCTCTAATCCACATCAGATACGCCTTAACTCGTTAGGTATGTTGAACTTCTTTCGCACCCTACGTAGGCAACCGTACAATGCATGAACATATCTAAAAACACACGGGTACGCATACAAACGCCGGGTATACGTGTTCAGGTCACCTGATAATGTTTGTCCCACCCCCCACCATCCCCCACCGTAAAAAAAAAAAACCCCACACAATCCCATCACCATCTGTGGCCGGCATTATCCCCCCCCTGCCCCGCCCCCTCCCAGCGGTGCCATCGCATCAGCCAGTGATCCAACTCGCCCGTCGTTTCACGCTGCTTAGTGAGCGATACATACGCCGTGGCAGTGATGGATGAGGTCGGCGTGGAGACGACTCGGATCGCTCGCTCGCTCCAGGGGTAGCGCCCGGGTCCTTCTGCCCCCGTCGCCACCGCTCGCGGCTTTTTGTGCTCAAACTGCCGCCGCCCCCTTACCCGCCACTGCCGCCCCCGCCGGAAAAAAAAAGCACCCTCGAAAATTGAAAATTGATTACTTTTTACGAACCCTTCCACCCACACGGTCCACTCTCCCCCCCCCACCAAACGCCAAGTCTCCCACCCACCACGCCCCGATACTGCCTGCATCATTGCATATTCAGTAGCTCAATTTGATAAATGAATAGGTGAAAGTGCAAGCCCTGCAATTTCGTGTCGACATCACTGCCGCCGGTAGGGCCTCCGCTGGAGGAACCCTCCAGAGCTGCTGCTGTTTGAAACTGGCCCACTGCTGCTTAGTGTGGCCATCGGGCTCCCTTGGCACCCAGTGCAGCCCGCTTCCCAAAGCCACCGGTCCCCCACACAACAAGTCGGCCTGTAACGATGCATTCATGCAGTTGTTTAAGATCAACTCCTACGCCGGCGATACACGCGTTGAATCGTGCGCGTGAGAATCAGTTACTTACCATTTGTGCAGTTTACACGATGATGTTGCATTCACGTTAACAGAGTGAACGATAGTGTACAAATGAGACGGAACAAATGAGTAACAATGCGAACGAGATTGTATAAAAACGATATGTGAATACAGGGTGCTTAAAAAATGTTTTAACATTTCCGAGAATTTGCAACAATACCACAAGAAATGTGGCTCCGGGCTCTGGAGACCACCTGGAGAAGATTCCAGGCATGTGTTGACAATGATGGCGAACAAGTGGAAACGATTAACATACATTTGTTATCATGTTACAGTGTACTATCCGTTATTTTTCCATTATTAACGATAGGCCCGTGTAAGTGTTAACATTTTTTTGAAGCGCCCTGCATAACGTTTTCTTGAATTTTTAACAGAGACTTGAAATCATGACATTTCATGAAAGAAGTCCGAGTGCGGTGCCGGGCAGGTGCAAGGCTCACATGCCAGACCCCCAAACTCCCCAACCCTTATAATGTAACCAAATTGAAATAGCCACAGTTTTCTAAGCAAAAACAAAGCCTTTTACAGAAGCAGTCTGTTGCTTTTTAAAGCTTTCGTGACTGCAGGGATTCATCTTCTGGGTTCTTTTGGTAAAGTCACGTGACTTTACCGAAAGAACCCAGAAGACAGTCTGCTATGAGTGGTAGTAGGGAAGCTTCAATGTTACTGGGGATTAAAATCAAGGCTACGTTTGTCACTCAATATTTCCTGGGTCGCTGGTAGACGGCAGGAGGTGGCACGTGACTCGCAGGCCGCGCGGAAATATTTTTCCGGGCGAAATTAAACCTTGACCAGCATTGAATGAGAAGAATTGCGGTGATTACAGTGTTGATGATGATGACGGTGAATTTTCCGAGCTAATCCTACGTCAATAAGCGCCCATAAAATTCCATCGCCCCCGGTGGCGTTTCGCGACGTAAACAAAAGTGAGCAAAAACATGCGCGGGCGGCGGTGAGCTCGATGTAACCTGCTCAATATCAGCCCTGTTTACAGCTCCCCCACGCTTGTTGTCACAATAGAGCCCTCCTTGAGTAAACTCTGCCTGTCGCTGTCTGCGCTCGGCGGCGGCGGCGGCAACGATCCTCACCGCCACTCCGTCTCTCACCCCCGGGAGTGTTGGTGGGCGAGATCCCCCCCCCCCGCCCCCATCCTCGGTGGGGTGCGGAACGAAACTCCGTGCCGAGCAGGTTTCGGACAAAAATTCAGACCTGTGCTCAAACCGCCGCTGCCGCTAGATTTTACCGCAGGTTCTCCGTTGCGAGGGTGATGGTGATGATGATTTGTTGTTGATGTGGCACACAACATACGTTGGGGTGTCTCGGAGTACTTTGCATCTCATCACAACGCGGTTGCAAGGGGACCCCCCCGGTGGCAGCTGTCCCTGTGATGTGAGCACGACGTGACACAAAAGGGCATTCGTCTATTCGTCTATCAGGAGGGGGTGAGTGGTTTGAGGAGACTTTCACTTGGCTCTCACTTGATTAGTAATTAATTAAATTCTTTTCATGAAACGGGTTCCTGAAGAACCTGCCAGCATCAGAAACCATGCCGAGCAACATCAAGTGCAACCCGAATACACATCAGAGAGATATGCAGCGTAACCATTTTTTATTACAACCCGTTGTCAATCCACTGCTGGATGAAGGCCTCCCGTGAGTGCGCGGGTTGGCGAAGGGGGTGGAGAGACCTGGGACTGGTTTAGATATCGCTTCTCACTCCTATTAGTCATGGCCAGGAATCGAACTCGGGCTGCCTGTTTCTTCGCGAACTGCACAAACCACTGCGCCACCACCGCTCCACCACCGCTCCAAATGAAATCTATCCGTCTAAAGACAAATGTCTTGTACTGAACGTCGCAATGGATGAGGGTGGGGTCGGGATGGCTTTGAAGGAGACTAAAGGGGGAAGGGGGTGGTGGCTGGGGCGGGTGCATGGCAGAGTGGGTGGTGGTGGTGGTGGTGGTGTGCGTGTGCAGTCGGAGGGAGGGGGGTTTGCGTGGTGTGGTGTTGGTTGGGTGTGTGTGGGCCACGGTTGTGTCAGGTTCCCTGTGCATTGTAGCAGGAGACAGTCTGGGGGTATTGGTGGTGGTGGTGGGGGGGGCGGTGCCGTCGGTGTTGAGTGCAGCGTGGGGAGCGGTGGCGTAGCGGTTCGTGCGCTGCCTTACGAACCCGGCGACCCGAGTTCGATTCCTGCTCAAGGTCAACACTGGTGACGATTATTTGAACCGGTCCTGGGTCGACTCGGCCTCAACTGAGTAGCTGGTGCGGTGTGTAAATGTCGCCACTGGGGAGACAAAGGTGGTCGGGCGTGGTCAAGGTCGCCCACCCCCTCATGTGCCGCGCTGGCCTTCATAGGTGCCACTCGCTAGCAGCACTTGCCCCCACAGTCTGTTAAGGCTGTACGGGGGGGGGGGGGGGGGCCGGGTGGATCTTTGTTTTTGGTGCGCGATCGGTGTTGAGTGCGGGTCTGTCGAGGCGGCCTCCCTGCGCGTTGTGGCTCGGATGAGGCTGGGGGGTTGTGCATTAGGGGGAGGTCGGGAGGTGGTGGGAGGTTGGCATGGGCGTTGTTGTGGTGGTGTGGGCTCCTCTGTGTGGTGTTGGCTGCCGGCCTCCACAGTAGACTCGCTCGCACTCCCCTCGCAGACGCTGCGAGCCAAGACGCAAACGCTCAGGGCCGCCCGGACGGAAGTAATCGATTTTGCGTTTATGTTTTACACGTATGCAAACAACAGCACTGCAACCGCATATCTTACTGGACACCCGTGCAAACGAGGTTTTTGTTCTCAGGCGATTATCCAGGTGAAATATTTGAATTACAAGAAAATAATTTGCCCAACTAATGCGTTCTCATATGCAATGCGTACATATACATCTTATTGCTTACATATACATCTTATTGCTTATATATACATCTTATTGCGTACATATACATCTTATTATAATGGTCGCGATAACGATCCAATGTTTAACCTTCTAGATGCATAGACAACATACAAAGAGGCTATTTCTCCCCCATGTATTGCTATAGACTGTCGGGGTAAGAGTGCTATTCACGAGCACCCATGTAGGCCAGCGTGGCACGCTGGCCTTTGTGTCCCCTCGTGTTGATGTTCACACTCCAACGCGTCCCCACGACAGTATAACGATCACTGTCGCTTCTGCTTTCTCTCTTGGCAATAGTTATTTATCAGAGCTTATGCATTGTGTATACACTGCGCGCACACGCACGCACAGTGCATGTGTAATACTCGGACACACACGCACCAACATGCCACACTGCTCTTAACAATTCATTTACCAGCAATGCCAAGGCTATGCAAAAGTTGCATTGCTCTTTTAATCGAACTAAACAGATGCCCTGTAAAATATTGAATTAATATCTAGTGCCAATACAATAAATCATCATCAGCCATGATCAATCCACTGCTGCATGAAGGCTTCCGAAGCAATCGCCACCTCTCGTGATCCAGATATGTAATCATCCACAGAGCCACCTGCACACATGAACTGATTTGATCGCTCCATCTCCTTGGTCGAAAGCCTCTCGAACACATTCCATCGGCCAATCATCTCCGCCAATGACGTCTCCTACCCAAGCGCCAACACATGAACCTTGAGACAAGGATCACGACAGAGAACGCGCCCTACCCGGACACCGGCGGCAGACGCGGGACAAAGATCCCCCGTGCAGCCTTTTCCAGACTGTTGGGGCAAGTGCTGTTAGCGAGCGCCTATGAAGGCCGCCACAGTACACGACAGGGCGGGTGATCAACACAGCGCCCGGACGCCTTTTACCTCCCGAGTTGCGTCGTTTTACACACCGTGCCATATGCACATTTAAGGCCGAGTCGACCTCGGGGTGGCGGAGGCCCAGGACCGGTTGAAATATTCCCTGCCACTGCTGTTGGTCGCGAGCGGGAATCCAACTCGGGTCGCCGCGTTCGTAGCGCGATTGCGCCAGCCACCACGCCACCACTCCACCTAAGGGCAGAGGTCCCGCACGAGCCCCACGCTCGCCACGCATTCGGCGCGTCGGCGGTGGTGCCCGATAGCCTCGGACAATCACGACGGGATGCCGGGAGCGGGGATTGTTGTGGAGGCGGGGGGGGGGGGCGGCGGCGCCCGCGTCGCGTTGCCGGTCGCCAGCCCCGGCGCGTGCGCCCATCTGGACGGAGAAGGGGACGCGCAGCTCGACCGCGGTCGCCGCTCGCACCAATATATATATTTTATTTTACTACGCGGAGCTCTTAATTACACCCGCCGATCCCCACCGGGGCGTCCGCGTGTAATCCCCGCGCCCGTCTGCGAAGGGATTAGCTCCATATTGTTGTAAGTCCTCCTCGCTTCCCCCACGGGCCCCCTCGCACTCTTATTATTTATACCCTTCTACGCCCATGCCTCAGCTCCGAGTAGAAGCCCTTTCGGTAATTGAATATCTGCCAGTAATTGGAAAAATATTACCGCGACGCGTAAGGGAGTGGGCGGCATGGGGGGGGGGGGGGGTGGATACCGGGCGGTGCAGGGGGGGAGGGGGGGATGGGGCCGGTGGTTCGGTGCGGCCGGGCCACGTGCCGGCTGCTTTAAATGCAGGGCAGAGCTTAGGGAAATCAGCGGCCGTGTTGTATCTGTTTAAAATGTGTGTGTGTGTATATGTGTGTGTGTATATTTTACACACACAAAAAAAGTATTTCTCTCGAGGCGCGGGGAATGCCCTCTGGGAATTGCAGGGCGCGGAGATGCGGCACGTAATCTTGCCGAAATACCAGCCGCCATTGTTCGAGCAATGTAGATTAAGATTGATGAGATATTAAGGTCAGACCAATCGATGTGAGCGGCAATTAAAGATTTTTTAATTAACCCGAGCCGGAAAGCTGGGAAGGATGAGGCAAGGGGGGAGGGTTGGGAGTTGGGTTAGGGGTGGGGTGGAGAGGGTGGCTGCAGCGGTATCGGTGTTGGGATGAAGGGGCGCGGGTAATGGGAGAGAATGATGCCACGGCTTTGTGCCGAGCGTTAGAGGGAGGAGGAGGAGGAGGTGATGCATCGGTGCAGAGGCGCGGGTGCACGCGCGCGTACACAGGCGCGGGTGCACGCGCGCGTACACAGGCGCGGGTGCACGCGCGCGTACACAGGCGCGGGTGCACGCGCGCGTACACAGGCGCGGGTGCACGCGCGCGTACACAGGCGCGGGTGCACGCGCGCGTACACAGGCGCGGGTGCACGCGCGCGCGTACACAGGCGCGGGTGCACACGCGCGCGTGCACGGCGTCTGCCGCCGTTTCCCCCACGGCCGTTAATATGCGCGACTGCCGCGTGCCGCGCTTTGTGCTGTGACGGCCCGGCCAGCGGCGGAGGAGCGGCCGTGTAAAATGACTGTAACGAGGGGGTGACCTCTCTTGTCAGTTTGCCCGGAGCGTGTGACGACCGGGGTCCGCGCGCCTGTCTGATTGTCTTTGCTCCGTTGCTCCACCCCTCCCCTTCTCCTCCTCCGCCTGCCACCACCGGACTCCCCGCTTCACATCACCCACAGCAGGAGCCCTGTCTCCTGGCCGCTATAACCTCGCTTCCAAACCAGGCCACCGTGCCCCATCCCCACCCCCAGCGCTGCTGTGCCCCCCTACAACCCCCCCCCCCCACACCTCGGTGCTCGCATCTCATATCGTTGGCTTTGACTCGTCAGACGGCTGCTCGCCTTTGCCTAATCGCGCCTTTCCCCGCTGTTTGTACCCCGATGTTGAAAACGCACCCGTGAACGAGTGAGCCAATAATGGCGTCGTGCAAGTTTTTCGTCTCTTCTTTTTCACAATTTTATTTCAATTGGGCTATATTTTTATGACGCAAGTATCCACAAGCAGGTTTCTCTGAACTTGAGAAACCTGGTTGCGTCGCGGGTGGTTAAATCCCAGATTCAGACCCATGATTTCAGAGTGGTACCAACGCAGCACTCTGCCACCCAGCCGTCTTAGGAGCCCCATAATGTATCTGTGATCATCTTGCCCATGTGAGCTCGACCTGGCAGAGTCTGTAACCGCCTTGTAAACTCGTCGACGAGCACTTTTGAGCGCGATGACGCGTTCCGTGGCTTCCACGTTGCACGCCGCCCCCAACGCATTGCTGGAAGGCCAATAGTTGGCTGAGGAACAAAACGGCATTTGTCGGCGAGGCAAACTTTCATTGTATTTGTTAGTTCACGTGTTTTGTTTATAAACCTTGCTGATGCGGCATTACCACAGTTTATTACGGTTAAATCCGTGTGCGTGGATGCAGCTCGAGCGTGTTTGTAGATCAAGGGAGCAGTCACTGAATGATTGCATTGAAACAATGAAATGAATAAATAATGAGTGTGCGTGCGCTTATAAATGCGTGTGTGTGTGCGCGCACGCGCGCCCGTGTGTGGGGGAACGGTGGTGCAGTGATTCATGCACAGTTGTACGATCCCAGCAACCTGGGTTCAACTCCCAGCCGTGAATATCATCAGTGGCAGGTGATATATGACCCTGCCCCCTGAGCCTACCTGAGGTCAACTCAGCCTTAAAATATGCACACAGAGCGGTGTGCAAACATCAGTGATGGGGAAACGAGAACGACAGGATGTGATTCAGGTCACACCACGCCCTCGTATGCCGTGCCATGCTAAAATATGCGCTCGCTAACAGCCCTTGCTATAACAATCTGTGCGGCTCTATTGGGGATCTGTCTTTTTTTGCTTGCGAGTGTATGTTTTTGCCTCAAACATAGCTTAATGTGTTATCACCATAATACGTATGGGTTTTCTGTAGGTATTCCAGTTTCCTCCCATGTAAAAATGCTGCTTGATAGGATGCAACCTTTTATCGGCCTGGGTTCGCACCCAGACTGGGTACTCTCCCCAGTTGTCTCCATCAGGATTGTACACTGATTTAGCCCCCTCCCCAATCCTTACTCCAGCCATTTCGCCTTGGTTTGGTTTTTAAAAATACATTTAATTTGCTGACCCAATGAAGACTTGTGGAAGTAATGTCATATCTATACTCTTGGTTTATCGCACCGTTTCGAATTTTTTTTTTTAATGCTCCTTAACACGAAATTTGCCAAACATCCCAATGCAAGACCCTCCCGAAAATTCGTCTCGAGACCCTCGCCGATGCTTTCCGGGATATCATCGCACAGGCCGCGTTACATTGCAAGATCGTTAGAGGCGGGTGGCGGCGGCAGCGGCGGCTTGGGAAGGCCTTCATCCAGCAGTGGATGAGTCCACGGCCGAGGACGACGATGAGTATGGCGGTGATGAAGACACAGGCTGACGTGCCGCTGTGTCCCGTTGGTGTTCCGCAGGACCCGTCGCCCTGAGCACCCCGGCGCAGCTGATCACGCCGACGGTCGCCTTCCGCGGCACGCTGTCCATCACCGCCAACGAGCTGTGCTTCGAGGTGGACGAGGATGACCCCGGATTTAAGGCCGTTGACCCCAAGGTATTTCTTTTCCCATTTCTGCATCGATGTGATCGTTTTTTTACCTGCGAATCAAAACTTGCGTGTCCGTTAAACGCCACCACGGGGGTCCCGTGAGGGAGGAGGCGGAGGAGGAGGAGTTAGCGCATGTTAACAAACGTACGTGTGTATGTATGTATCCTTTATTTAAACCAGGTGAGAGCCAGTCGAGATCAAAGTTCTGTTTTTAAAGGGGGGGGGGGGGGGGTGGAGACCTGGCTGACAAAGCAACGCAGTTTCACATGAAAACAAACTGTCAAAGCATCGAACATCACAAGTCTCACGTCAATGTGAACGTGAAGCGATGCACATTAAGCAACTATTTTTGTGTCAATGCCGATACGTCAACGGTGAACAACACAGTCATTTCAAGTTTACCTATCTTCGTAAAAAAAAAACTATTGGGTGAATGTTCCCGCAAAAAAAAAGTGGATGCGAGTCGGTTCGAAGGGCGGGGGCTACTCATTCGGGCCACGGTGGATTGGCGCGAGGGTTCTCGATGTCGGGAAGGTTGTGGTGCCACTCACCCACAGATGCCCGTTGCACTTGGGCGCCGTGTGAAACCACATCGCAGCGTGTTTTTTTTATAAAACGATCAAGGGACCAATGCCAGTGGTCAGACATCTGTCATCGTCAATGGCATCATGCTCAACACACCGGTCTGGCATGTTCTTTGAGCCATAAATTATTTTGTGCTGTGTAGCACGTGCACCTTTTGTCTCCTGATAACACCATACATTGTGTCTCTGTGTGCATTTATATCAGGATAAATAATTAACAATCATATGTAGTGTAAAAAAATCACAAAAGCACGTAACACGTTCCATTTCAAACGAACCTTTTATTACAGAATGCAATGTTGTTTCATAGAGAATGATATTCAGGCACATTTATTCCATAAGGGTATCGATGTACTGGACAGCAGGACATCTGTGAAAACGAGCTTTATAGCTCATCGCATTCCATCCAGTACAAATAAATATTCTGAGTGTAACACGTAGGCTTTCGGGACATTTTTACATTCACGTGATCTAACCCGAAAAGAAAACCTGGATTATGGAAATATTCCAATTCTGATTCTTTATGCTGGCTACAGTCTATTTTGGCCAAACACCGAATGTTGTCCATGTCATTCACAGCGCTATTTACTTACTTTTTTCCTTTCAACAACACAAACAGGAAGTGGTTCGGCACTGACTCAGAGTAAAGCTGCTGTTGCCGCTGGTTTGTAATTGACGCGCATCAGCGTTGCGCTTCATTAGACAAGTTCCTCGTTGATGGGCCCGAGGCTGACGAGCAGCCTCCACTCAGACCAACATTGCATTATTTATCATCGCCGATGAGGCTGTGAGCGGAGGCTCCGAAAGGTACCGCGCGAGCAGGTGGGTGCAGGCGCACGGCACGAGGAAACTTTTACGGGTGCATTTTTTAAAAATAAATGGTTGTTTTTTTTGTTGATGCACTTCTTGAAGATCTGTTTCTGCTTTGATTGACCGTGAATGTTGCATCCGTTTAGAAATAAAATAAAAACACACGCACGCACACAACAACGGGTGCCATTGCCACTAAGTGGCGGTGACATCACCACGGCGCTTGTGCCAGGCTATTTGCGCCTTGAGGTCACGCGAAGTGCCGAAGGCTCGCTGACAAGTCACGGGACAAACCCAGGTGCCATGGGTTGACCGGCAGATGTGCTGCCTCTGCTTGCTACTGTGCCAACTTGCCGCATTTAAGCCGCCCAGTGCTCCGCTCGTCGTTATGAGCGCCGCTCCTCTGCCCTACGTTGTTGTCGGAGAGAGCGACTCCTCCCAACTGCCCAGTCGCGTCCTTCACTAGCCTCCTCCAGAGGCGTGTACACGCACGCACGCACACGCACGCAGCAGTGTTCTCAGCAGAAACGCCGCAATCGGTAATTCATGGCGCTGCGCTGAGGGATGTCCCCCAGGCATGCCGTGTGTGCGTAGACAATGAACAGCACAAGCGCTTTTCTTTGTGTTTTCACTTCAAGTTTAAAAATAGTGCCGGGCCCAACAATGTACAGTGCACTTAAAAAAAAAATGTGTTTCGGCGTAAGTACATGAAATGCGCCGTGGTACTGTTGCCCATTCAACGTCGTCGTCAACGTCGCCGTCGTGATCATAATCACCGTTGGCACACATGGTCTCAGAATGCACATCAAGTGCATATCAAATATCGTGAGTAATTGCGGTGAACGCAAGTGATGTGACGTAACTGCATTCCAAGTAAAAAAAAAATACACGTAAACCTAAAACTCTTTTATGTACTAGGTAAAGCCCGCAAATGATAGCTCAATGAAATTGATAGCAGGCGAATAATCGAAACGCATGTTGATTCCAAATGAGGAGGGAAAAACCCGGAGGACCCGGAGAAAAAATCTTTGCGGCCACGGGGAGAAAATGCAAAGTCCAAATATACAGGCATAAGGGGCAGGATCAAACCTCCTACTTCCTCCTGCATACCAGGCAAGGTAGTAAAATCTTGCCACTGCGCAGCTCCACCACAGCTCCATATTTTACTTGGGGGTCGAGGCGGGGGCTCTTCAGCAACTGAATGTTTTGGTGCTGGGAGCAAATAATTGGACATGCTGAAAAACACTCTTTACAAGCTGAAAACACTTCAGAATGCTACTCGTCGCACGTCCGAATTAGCACGGTTGGCTAGGTACGGTGCGACAGAAGTTCAACATGCCTCATTTCATTCCTCAATCCCAGGAGGCATCCTCCCTAGGCTTTCTCAACTCAATTAATCTCTGTGGTGATGGCCAGCCAATGGGAGGCGTTGTCTGTGATGACGGCCGTTTGTGTGTGGGGGGCTGGGGGGGGGCTCGGTCGTCACCCGCCGTCGACGTGGGCATGGAGGCGTTAATGGCCTCCTTGCTCGTGGTCAAGGGCGCCAAGAAATTGAAGGTAAAAAAATTGCAGCGACGTTGGGGTTGTGTTTGGTTGGCCAGGGAGATGGAGACACTGCCAGCTGTGTGTGTGAGAAATATTAATGTGAAAAAGAGGCCTTGTCCCTGGCATCATGGGGCAATTATATCACTATTTGATATCACAATTATGATATCACTTGTTTACATGGGATGCTGAAGTAGAAAAACATGTAAATTGTGTAGGTATATATATTTTTATAACATCAAATAAATAAAAATCTAGAGTGCTCGGGTGAGCGCGGTTGGCTACGTATGATGCGAAAGAAGTTCAACATTCAGACAGACAGAAATGCCACGCAATCAGCCTGCCCTCCTCTCTTCCTTAATTCTCACCGCAACTAGTGGTCGAACCGCGCTCGATATTTTATAATTGTGCACGCGAACGTGTTTGTGACCATATGATTCACCGTGACCATTGTTCGGCCGTTAGCGAATGTTCAAAGTGGGCCGCCATTCTTAGCATTGGGGCCAAAGCAGAGAGCCTTCCACTTTGCAGGTACTACTGTGAATTAAAATGTCATTCTTTTGTTCCAGATTTGTCATTGGGATTAAACATTTGTCCTAAGCTACTTATTGCAGCTATAAAAAAGGCACACTGATATGTTCATTGCACGAAGGATTGCACGACTGTGTGAGCCTGCTCTTGGTCTCTTAAAACATGGCCGCGTGAGCGAGTTTTTCATTGCAATACCAGCGATTAAACCGATTACTTGTGTCGTTTGTGAGAAAATACACAATAATAATAATTACTGCATGTTTCATTAAAGGCGCTGCTTTACCCGGCAGGTTTGTTTTTGACTCTTGCGGTACTTCAGCCAAAAAAAATATTTAATCGCCGCCTCCAAAAATAAACAGCACCTCGCCCACTGACTAGCGCCGTGCAAAATGTAAAAAGTCATCTTGAACTAATGGACACAAACAGATTAAATGCGTTCGTTGGGTTAATAATAATAATCTTATTTTATAAAGCGCCTTTCATATTGAAGTACCTCAAAGCGCTGTAAGTAAAACTACACTCAGAAGTACACATAATATCTTAAATTAAATAGAAAGCTGATAATATCAATGACAACTTTCGAAATTCCAATAAAGTGAAGAACTATGATAAAAGCGAATAATGATAATGACAAGAATAATCCAATCAGACAAAAAACTGGTTTTCAATTCTCAAGTTTCGGGGAAAGCCTGTACAAATAGTTGCGCTTTAAGAAGACGCTATTTACTTGCTTGATGCCTGACGGACCGACACGATTGCTCCAAGACCGTGAGTTTTTTGTCGGGTCACATTCAAGTGTTTTAGGAGGACGCGTGTGATTTGCGTGAGATAGCTGAGCAACGCCGCCTAGGTCCGGTGCTTCTGGGGGAGGAGGTCCGGATGAAGTCGCTAACTCAGCGGAGCACGGCGGAGCTTCAGGCTGACGTTCTACTCTCGCACCTCCACATCGAGGAGGGTCGTTATGACCCCCCCCCACCCGCCTCACACTTTGCCATTCGCCCGCTGTGATTTAACGCTTGGCCCAGGCTGCCGCAGGGCTCAAACCCAGAAAAATAAATCCATTTATTCCACAGCCGTATAAAGCGTGTAGCGGTGCCCCACACCTTAATGCGCGCGCCTGTGTTCCCAAACACACAAACAGCTGCCTTGAGTGTCGTTTATTTATGTTCGGCATAATCTTTTTCACGTGTTACACTTAACACACTAACAGTTGTACTTCTCTTATGCTTATTTTTTTTATAATATTTATACTTAATATGGATTGATGCTTGTGGATGGGATCAGAATATGATCCGGTTGTATGTCTGTGTATGTATGCCTCCTGGTCTTTATTAGGTGCTTGCGAACAGCACTTGTCACAACAGTCTGTTAAGGCTACATGGGGGTCTTTGTTTTTCTGTATATATGTTGGTGGCTTGGTGGTCATCGCGCTGCGCTACGAACCCAGCAACCCAAGTTCGATTCCCGCTCACGGCCAACATCGGTGACAAATATCTGAACTGGTCCTCTGCCTCCCCTAGGTCGACTCAGCCTCAA